GTATCGCAAATAATCAGCGGTCCTCGTTTGGCGGTTGACAGACAGGTAAAATAACGCACAAAATGCTCGTTTATTGACACGAAGAATTCCACGCCCGGGCAATATCGAAAACGTTCCGTCGGCGCCGTAATGTCACCGAGTCTGCGCGGAATAAAACGGCGTAAAACCTTCGGGGCGCCTCTACGCGCGGCATCCGCGGGGAAACCGCCGGCGATAAATAACATCGCAGAAATTCTCCCTCGTCTCTCGTGGTGGCGCGAAACGGGGCGATAAAACTGGCCAGGGGAGAGAAACGTTCTCTCTCTCGTTGCGCGACGAAATAGCGCGCACGTAAACCAGCGATTCTAACCAGTTTCGACGTGGGTTGACGACTGCGGCAAAATCGATAGCACTTGGCGAGTCGCCTCGTTGGTCCAGAGACTGATTCTCTCTCTCTCTCTCTCTCCCTCTTCGACACAAAAGCGCGTAGGTGTCCAGAAATATAGTATATCGCTGTGACGCGTTTATCTACCCCTAACTCTCTGACGCGTTCGCGTATATACATCGGGTGTTCTAGACGTACAAGAAATGCTGAAACCGCCCGTCTTTGATTGCTCTTGGAAACTTGACAATTGCTCACACTTCGAAGAGAGTTCGCAGTTTAATCCGCTAATTTATTTTCATTGCCTTCTCGCAGTAAACAATTGTAACTTGTTGTTGTATTTCTGCTGGTCGAGTTTGCACGAGTTTTAACTACTGCTTAACTCTATCGGAGTTACATCTAATTGATGTTACCTTAAAAGCAGTTGAAGAGATAATTATTTTTCAATTTCCCATACTGAAAAAAAAGAGTTTGGTTGTTTTTCGACGAAACAGAATTACTGGTTGAATCAATCAGAATTTCTTATAATATAACAAAAATCTGGTTGCACAACAAATCAGTTGCTTGCTAACCAAGATTCGTGTTGCATTATAAGGAATTCTGGTCGATTTAACCAGTAATTCTCTGTTTCGTCGAAAAACAACCAAACTTTTTTTTCAGTGCATTATTTTTTATTGTACGTGTAAAATTGAGATTTTTATACGAAAATATTTTGTCGATATTCTTTTAAAGTTCTTAAAAATTTTCAGTCGAAATAAATTAATGTCATCATTGCTTCTGTCACTGAAGATGTTTAACCTAATCACATTATCTTTTTCATAATGATAATATATCTCGTAGGAATTTGCGTTGTATAAAATAGACATTTGTTATTCAAATAAATTGTAATTAATGCAAAATTATATTGTCCCCTTTACAATCTTGAATTTCGAGTCGAGGAGTCTATCGATTTTCTAATAACTTCAATCGACACCTAAAAATGAAATCGAGATCGAGCTATAATCTCGTCATTTCACATCCTCGCGTTTCAAACCTACGTGACCCGAAGAGGACACCCGGCATCTCCTGGACACCTCGTATCTCGGAGAATGAAAGAGAGGAGGGAACCAAATCGACTTTACCCTCGCAAACTACAAGCTTCATTCAGAGCCGCCCCCGCATTCTGCCGCGTGACGTCATAGAGATATCGGAGCATTCACAACTTGGCGCGCGCGCGATAGACGTAGCACCAAGAGAGGGATAAGAGAGAGAAACGATCTAGGATGTGCGCACATCGGTCCAGGATTATGCCTCCCGCTGGTGACTATGGTTGATGGTAGTGGTGGGTGGCTATAGTGGTGGTAGTAGTGGCGATAGTAGAGGGCTTCGCACCGACTTGCTCTCCTGCACACACACCCCGGTAACGCCGGTTGCTGCGGCTGCTATTGCTGCGGTTGCTGTTGCTGCTGCTGCTGCCGACGCCACCACCTCCACCACTACCACCTAACCAGAGTCTTGCTGCTCCTCCGCCTTTCACTCGCACGGGCTCAGTTCGCTGGTGTCCCTCATCAGCTGCGGGTCTCTTCGATCGACGCGCAACCAAGTTCGACGTAGTTGTCTTGCTTGCTTTGACATATCTCCTAGGTACATGTCCAGCGTTTCCAAAAGCGTTTTTCGCAGATTCTTCGTTTACTTTATTCGAATATTTTTTTTTTTTTCATAGATAAAAAGTTTGCGAGTGTCGCACCTATAGATCCGTATAACTATCAGTTCTTTCGCGCGTGTCGTTTATTGCGTCTTACGCAGTCTTATGAAGAATGTCGATCGCGCATTGCTCGGATGAAACGTTGAACTCGAGATGCAATTCTTGGAGGAAAAGTGGTAGAAAGTGATCTTTATCAAAATGTGTCGTTATTTTTCTCCCTTTATGAAGGGGAGATTCTGAAAAGTTTCTGCACCGCGTGCCAACATTAAAAGACATTATCGAAGAAAATAATGATAGCGTGTCCGCTGTGCTGCTGCGCATTCCGATTCGCTACAGGTGGTGCTTTTTCGCGGCTGTTGTGTTGTTTCGAAACAAAAATACCGCGCGAGTTTACTTGTTTGTTTGTTGTTTACGCGGTTATTTATAAATAATTCTTAGCGCGGAATTAGTGAATAATAGTGCTTGAACGGTTTATGTGAGTAGTAACCCTTTTGTTAACGCACACACTTGATCGTCAGATTGCGAAGTTACTTAATTGAAAAATTATTTTAATAAATTGCGTCTTTAATTTATCGCTATTATAATTTTAACATTTTACAAATCATGTTATATAAAATAATATTGACAAACAAAGAAAACTAATTCATCAAAATTTTTCCTCCGTCTTTATTAATGCTCAAAATTTTCTAGATCATAATTTGCCGGAAATTTGACAATTTATATAAACGTAGGCAAATTTCGAAGGCACGTTTAATCGAGAATAAATAGAGTAGCAATATTATATATAGAAATATGTGTTTGAAAACGCCGCTCTTCCGCAATCTCTCAAGCTCTCGTGTCAATAAGCGGTAATAGCAGCTTACCTTGTGTGTGTCAAAGACATATCCGTGATCTTGATTGTGCGTAGTATCTGATAGAGATGATAGTCAACTTTGTTGTATTCAAGTGTTGCCTATCATCTTCGTAATGATAGCGAATGAAAAGGGTTACATTGTAAATCATGCATATTTATAGCATGGTAGAGCAATTCCATCAAATTTGCGAGATAATTTACTGAAAATAATGATATGAATAAAATGGACAGAAATATGACAGCATTTGTTATCATTATTATTTTATTTTATCTATATAAAGAGTCACAATTTATTATATAATACTCTTAATCATCTCTATTCGATGATTTAGTTTATATCGCTTCAAATTTTTCGATATTAATCCTGACATGCAATTTTCGCATCAAATCAATGTCAACTTTCTCAGATATATATATTGCATAAAGCTATTGCCATATTTTTTCCTCGCGATCTTTGATCAGCTGATTTTGAGATATTCTTGATAAAAATTTATTTGGCGAAAGCGTTGTTCTTTTCGCAGCTTGTTAACATTCTACATTTAATTATTTTGATTTATTGAAATTTTATAATTATTCAAAATTATATGAAAAAGTAATTTATTATCGCATATTATTTTTTACGATGTTTAGTCATAAATCTGATGTGGAGGGGATATAAATGCTTTTAATAACACAGTATGTCATTATCTAAATTTATTGTCACTATCTAAATATGGTAAGATATAAAAGTGATAATAATCGATAAACTGTTTTTTGGCGACAAGTGAGCGTCGCATTAAAAATCTATATAATACGAAGACGAATGCGGAATACAAATTTCATTACGAATGACGTCATTATTCATTGTGACAAATAACGACTTTTATTGCCATATTTTTGTTAAGAAGAAAGATCGATTTCCAATTTTACATTACGTGGAATAAATTCATTAATTATATTTTCCGACGGATTTGCTCTTTTTTTTTCTTTTTTTTTCCCTTCTCGTATTTCCGATATTTTATTTCGATAATTTTAATTGTAGGAAATACGTGTAATATTTTTCGAGCATCGAGTACGAATTGAAATTCTTCTTAATAATTAAAAAGGAAATAAAATTTACGAAAAATATGATGCTCCTCGACTTACCTGGAGCCGAGTTCGAATGCACTTTATACATGTACGAAAGTCAATAGCCGAGAGTTTCGAATGAACGGCTGACTCGCGTTGCGCACCCGGACGTAACCTCGTGGCATTTCTCGCTATGCACTCGTACACTTTGAGCACCATGACATAGATACTTGCCGAAGGGCGCGCTGGTGATGCACTCGTCGGAATTACGCGCGATATATGCGGGATGAGAAAAGTTTTCACGTTTACTGACCTTTAAACTTGCAATTCATTTTGAGGGTCAAAGTATGCAAAATGCATTGTGCACCGTAATTTTCATAGGATTAGAACGTAAAACGAAAAGAGAGATATTACTATTATTCCAGATCATCTAGATTATATATTTATCAGAGACATGCGGTAATTAATGCGTAATGTTTAAATTTGCATATATTTATTTACGAGCATATATTTTGTTTCATTACCGTCAGAGATTATAATATAAATGAATACTCGTATAAATTAATAAAAATTGCGTGTGTGCAAAAAATGAAGATTTGAAACTTTACCTATAAAGTTTAGTCATTCGGGAAAATGCAGAAAAAAATATTTATTTTCAAATTTGTCTCGTTATTTTTAAAAATTATAAATATTCTTATAGAAGCATACAGAATAAATTCTGTTGATATATCTTGCTATCAAAATACCTACATTAATTAAATTTATAAATGAGCATTGTAAAAACATTATTTTTATAGCAAGATATATCAACAGAATTTATTTTTTAATTGTTAAGGATTTTATGTCACTTATGCTTCTATAAGAATATTTATGATTGTTAAAAATAACGAGACAAATTTGAAAATAAATATTTTTTTCTGCATTTTCCCGAATGACTAAATTAATATTTTTTAAGTACATAAATTTCTTAAAAATATTATTTAATGATACATTTATATAACTGGCTTGCAAGGAAGAATCGCGTAAAAATCTGGATCTTTTCGTGATTGTTGCAGTGTGGCTCTCTGGAGATCGGCGAGGAACGCCAGCGTCGGGTCGCTATGATGGAGTCGCTCTGCCAGGTGAACGGCAGTAAGACCAACGGCATCAACAATGAAGATCTTAGCAACGAGACCAACAACAACAACACTAATAACAACAACAACAACAATACTCACACCAATAACAACAACAACAATAGCAACAACAACGCCACCGAATGTCCGGATCCTCAGCAGAGATTGGCGGTGCTGAGCTTCGAGCAGGTCCGCCGTCTGAACGACGTGATGAACGAAGTCGTGAGTATTCACGGGCGAGGAAACTTCCCTACCTTGGAGGTGCGATTGAGAGATCTCGTGACGGTGGTGCGCAGCAAGCTAGAGACCGATCCGAGCAACGGGGGCGCCGGCATGAGGGTACGCGATATCCGGTTAAACGGCGGCGCCGCCTCCCACGTGCTGGCCACCGAATCCCAGCCCTATAACGACCTGGACCTTATCTTCGCGGTCGAGCTGTCAAGCGGCCGTAACTACGACAAGGTCAAGGCCGCGGTGCTCGGCTCCCTGTTTGACTTGCTGCCGGAGGGCGTGAGCCGCAAACGCATTACCACGTGCAGCCTGAAGGAGGCCTACGTGAGCAAGATGGTGAAGGTGAACAACGACGGTGACCGATGGTCTCTGATCTCCCTCGGCAATTCCCGAGGTCACCGGAACGTCGAGCTCAAGTTCGTCGATTCGATGAGGCGACAGTTTGAGTTCTCCGTCGACTCCTTCCAGATTGTTCTCGACTCCCTGTTGCTGTTTTACGAATGCAGCAAGCTGCCGATCGCCGAGAACTTTTACCCGACCGTGGTGGGCGAGTCCGTCTACGGTGATTTCCAGGAGGCCCTTTACCATCTGCACAAGAAGCTCATCTCGACGAGGCATCCCGAAGAGATACGCGGCGGCGGTTTGCTCAAGTATTGCAATCTATTGGTGAAGATGTACAAACCGTCGCAGCCGGATTACATCAAGACCCTCGAGCGATACATGTGCTCGAGATTCTTCATCGATTTCCCGGATATAGGACAGCAACGCTCCAAGCTCGAAAACTACTTGTGGAATCACTTTGTCGGGCCCGAAGAGGAGGCCCTCAAGTACCAGTACCTGATGCTGTTGCACAGCGTCGTCGAGGAATCCACCGTGTGTCTGATGGGCCACGAACGACGGCAGACCCTCGCTCTGATTCAGAACCTTGCCTACCAGGTGCTCTGCCAGGAGCAGCAGCAGCGACTGACGAGTCATCAGCAGCCGCCGCAGGGTCCTCCTGCCACCTACGTCTACGCCAACGGCTATTACTACGCGCCCGTGATACCCACCGCGGCGTGCTACACATGCACCTGCAATTGGATGGCGTGTTCGTCGTGATGCGACAGCATCGACGATAACGCCGTGTCCGCAGACGCCGCCACCACTATCCCCATCGCCACAAAAACCACCGGCACCGCTACCACAACCAGTCGAGATGTCATCGACTGTTGCGGCGTTAACGAGCCCAACCACGTCAATTTCTACAATCATGGTTGGTACCAGAAATACGAGTGCGGGATCTATTATCTTTGCTCTTACGGTTGCTGCTGTCCTCTCGAGGAGCCCAGGGATTTCTGCTGCGCTTATGGCTCTTTCGAGGATCCCGCGAATATGGAGAACGTGAGAGACTACATCGATCACTCCGCCGACGTCAAGGAATCTAAGCTCCTCAGTTGACGTTCATTGGACGGACGGATGATGCAAGCTTTAAATAACGGAGTGGTGTAGAAATCCTCGGCAGATCCGAGGATGATCTGGCGGATGCGGGAACAACGAAACAGTGGATCGAGAAAGCGGCGCGTTCGAGAAACGACGGACTAGAAATATCGTCGATGATAGATAAGAAGGATGGGCGAAGGTGGTGAACACGGGACGTGGAGCTTCTTCATCGCGAGTCTCCGGCCTTCCGTCGCGAGTGTCACTCTTTCTAAGCACTCGCAAACACCTCTCAGTGTGGCAAAATGCTGCAGCGAAGTTGGGACCAAACGCTGGTACCGGCTACAATTGCGGCGTAACAATTAAAAAAAAGGACTATAAAAGACTCTCTGAAAACAATGTGTTGTGCCTATAGAAGTAAAAAGAAGAACAAAGGCAGATCGGAAAACGTGTTCGGAGAGGATTCAGGAAGGAAACGTTCCTCCGATCGCGTTAAAAGACAAAAAGAAGGATAACAGAAAGGCAAGGATGAGAAGAATGAGTGCCGTTTTCATTGATGAAGCGCGATTTTGTTGGGTGAACAAATGTCGTCCCGGAAGAAACGATCATTGTCGACGGAATGGACGTCGACGTTGTATACCACGCGGATTCTGGACGACGCCGTGTTAGAGAGAGAGGAAACTGGGAGTAAATCGGAAGACGCGAGAAGATGTCAGGGAACTTCGTACAAAACAGGGAGGAAAATTTAGTCGGAAAAAATGAAGAGTTTACGATCCGAGCGAGACGCGTCCCTCCCCCTCTATTTCCATTATTATTTTTTTTGGCTTTTTGTTTTTTTTTCTCTCGCGATGTCGTGTGTCGAGTAATAATAAATAAAAGGGGCGAGAAGAAAAGAAGAGGGGGAAGGACTGGAGAATACAGAACGGTGGGAGAGAACGCGCGAGCGCGCGGCGCGTTTTTTTGTGTGTGGCTACGGAAATATATATATATATATATATATAAATATAAATATATTTAAATATACAGATATATGTATAAATCTCTATGTATATAAATAATTAATGTGTGGCTGTGAACACATTTCATTTAGATACTGTGTATAACGTGATAAGATTTAATTCGAGAAAAGATGATGTAGCGGCGGCACGACCCGAAAGTGCGCCTGAGAGAAGAGAGAAAGGACGAGCAGAGAGCGCGCAGACGATGGAGAAGGAAACGCGAGCCGTTTTCTTTCTCTCATTTCTGCGAGAAACGCGGGCGATCGTACATATACACACACACACATACCCCACACACACACACATACACATACAACAAATACGCGTGCATTTTCACATATCTACGTATACTGGACGTGTCTGACCGCAACCCGTGCTTTTCTTTGACGATAAATATACATTCATGTGAGTAGTAAAGAATGACATTTCAAGAAAAATGTGGCTGCAATCGCTCTTCTCAATGGGAGACGATTACAATATCTCGTTTTCGAAAATCCAATACAATTGTGTAATCCGTTGTAACGAGAAGCTTGAACAAAATAATTGGAAGATCGCGTCGCGCATTACAGCAAGGGATACTGAAATTTTTAAATATGCAAGTAAACACTTTTACGGTAACAATTTAAGAAAGAGAGTCAATATCAATCATTGTTGTATCGGTATTTTATTTTATACACGTTTTTAGAGTACACTATCCATCGTAGCATCGTCTCGACAATCGCACAATCGCGTAGCTCGCACGATGACAGTTTCATCATTAGATCACACATCTATCTCTGCGTGCGTGCAAGCATGAAGACTTTGGTTCTCTTCTATTGAAACAACAAAAAAAGCAAAAAAAGTTTGCCGCATCGGTCACATCTTTTTTTTCAAGTGCTTTAATTGCTCTCGTTGCGTTATTTATCGTTAGAAGAACTTGTAGTTATAACGCGACATCCGGTATACGGTATAAAAAGTAGACTTAAGCTCTAGATCCTACGTGTTTCTTTCGCACGGTTTTGCAGCCTGAAACTCGCGGTGGCGCGCGTGTTAGAGTTGAAATAAGACAAAGAAAAGGATGATGACGATGATGACTTAAGATTGCGAAGGAAGAGAGGAGAGAGAAACCTGATGAGGGCAAAAGAGAGGAACGAGGGAGTGAGATAGAAGCGAAGGCGAAATCACTCGAGATTACCCTGTATATACGTTGGACAGAGATTACCGGACTCGTGTATAAAGATAAAGAGTGACTTTCGAGAGGAGATTTATTTTCATCGCATTATCGAAGAGGGACGACGAGCGCGAACGCGTCAATACATGTAACAACATATATATATCGGCCGATTCCGTTGAAAAGGGGGAAAGACCTCGTGGTCTCTCGAAAGGGGCAACATCTCGAAAGGTTTGCATAACGTTCTTTATTAGATATCGTAAATATTTAATAGCCCGAACGCGCGCGTCTCTCGACGATGCAATATCTCGCATCATATCACCGCGTGTGTATGTGTTCTACATATACACGAAGGCCGTTGCGTCGCGTTCTCGAGTCTGTTCGATAAATGCAGGTGTAAGTGACTATATGTATACGCGAATATACATATATACACGTGTGTATGCACCCCTTACGCTTTTCTATCTTCTCTCTTTCTCTTTTTCTTTTCCCTTGATCTCTCTGGTCTCTCTCTCTCTTTCTCACGTATATATACACCCGCACACGTACGTTGTGTGTTGTGTCCTCCGTGCGTATCCGTATCGACTGGTGACCCCGTTAGTTAGCTCGCTCGCTAACAGGCCTCGTTTGCCTCGCTCGCTCACTCTTACTTTCAATTCGCGAGCGAAAGTAAAGGCCTAATAAAAAGCCCGCAAACTGGTTTTTCAGGTATATCGCGTGTTAATGCTAAGGAGATCCAGCCATCGGCGCTGCCAGAGTGCCTCTATTGCCGCGGCCTATCGCCTATCGCTCTACTACCACCACTGATATATGTATATCCCACCGTTGGTCCCTTCTCCCTCTTCCTGGACGCCTCGTATCGAGGCCGTCGACGTTTGATCGCAACGCGATGACTATTTCGCGCCTCGTCTCGTCTCGTCGAAAGTCTCGCGAGCCAACTTTTCCGCAAGCTCTTCCCCAGAAGATCGGCCTTAGGGTAGGCATCCTTTTGGCACGGTGAAGCTTTTATTCGTCGATCGAGGTGTGGGATGTCGCGAATTCTTGTCGGATTTACTTTACAATACGCCGTGTTGTGGTTCGATTCTAAACTTTGACGAAATCCTACATGTAGGATGCTGTGCAACATAGAATGAGGAGAAAACATTTTTGATGGATATATATAGTAGAAGTACTGTTATATATATATATATATTTGATCAGAGATCTTTTTTTCAAATACAAAAATCTTTTTTGGTACAGCTATGATTTATGATCGCGTTCATAATAATACGGCTATTTTTGAAGTTAAGTTTTTTTTTTTTTTACTATATCAATATATTTTGATGAGTTAGAAAACATTTGTTATTATATATATCGACGGTTCGATGTGTTTCGTGATGGAAGATATTTACGCAGTGACCAGCGATTTCGTATCATGAATGCCTCAATTACAAGCGAGCTCTTTAATACCGGTCTTTAATGCAAGTTAACGTCGCACCGTGTCTCCTCTTTTGCGTCACATCCGAGCCACTCGCGGCGCTCAAACGGTCGAGGAATTAATCTACGATGAGTCCGAGATGAGTCGACTGTTGGCAGAATTAAGCCTTCCGTTGTCTGTAAAAGGTGTAGCGAGTTCGTCGAGCGCATTCTGCTTTCTTCCTCGTCGCTTTCCATCTTTTTCTTTTTTTTTAATAGCGACGCGAACGAACTCGCGAATATTTTTTTTCTAAGTTATTTCTTTCTTTCAAACCATCATTTGTGTTTTATGTGTAACAAATATTGATGTATAAATAGGTGACTCGTTTCATGTTTCGACTTAACATCACGTGAATGATCTTTTTATATTTACGTCACCTGCACTTTGTTAGAAAAAAATGTGTGGAGTATAAAAAATAAAGCAGCGAATGAAGGCTGATAAACGAGAAAAATATTACAATTGTACAAATTACCGCAATTAGCTCGCAAGAATATCCGAGGTGGTAGTAAGAAGCAAGGCTGATAGTAATCGAAAAGTACGAAAATCAGTATCAGCGAATATTTTAGCACGAATGTATCGTTTAAACTTTGTTGATCGATGTGTTATTTTTTACATGTGATTTATTAACCGTTTCATGTTAGAAAGTATGAGAGCGAGAAAGCTGTTTTGGCAAATTATTATTTGCGCGTATCATTTGCCCTCTGCGTAAATTTAATTAGAGCTTTAGAATATAGGAAGATCGTGTTCTTTTTTTTGTTAATGTTTTGTTAATTGTATTTATATATATTTGATTTAAACACTTGCTTCCTTAATTATGCGAAGGAGAAATACGGAATAGCCGAAACATATACGTATATACATATTGATTATACACAGATGCCAAGTTATTGAAATAATTGTAAGCGTCTACAATAAGTCTCGGGATTAGCTTATCATTTATCAAGGACGCATACACAATTCAGCGATAAACGAATACTAACTTATATACATAGTCCAGCGAATATATGTGATTATATCAGTAATAAAGGTAATATTTGGAATATGAAACACACGAGCAAATATTATGCTTTCTCCATGTACGCGAGAAACCTCGACCAAGAGCTTGTATAGTTAATCAGTATGAAAACTAATTTGTTATTAGATTGTGCATTATTCAAAATTTAATATATTAGCGAACATGAGAAATTTTTGTTCTTCCTTTTTGCTTTTATATAGGCAACATTTTAATCAACTCGTACGTTGTGTCAAATGTAAAAGTTAACACATGTACAGAGATGTATGAAAGGAAAAATATATTATGCGCAACAGGATTTGAGAGTATAATTTTCGTCAGATGTATACCTAATGATTAAAAGAAGAGCGATGCCGCGATCTTCAGGCTGCTTATTTAATTATCATTGCAAGACGGGAGAGAAAAATACGGCGTCGCGACAGCGTCGTCATAATATTTAAGAAACATGACGACGTAAATATATTTTCACACACAATGTCGAATGTCGCGCGCATTTTCACGCACAACGTAGAAAAAAATCATTCATAAATATCCATCACGCGCAGATGCAAAACGCGAAGCGGGATGAAGGCTTCTGACTTTTTCTCTTTTCAATCATTCAGGCAAGTCTGTTAAAAAGCGATAATCGAGGCGTGTATCTCCTTAGAGACGCGAATTCGGAGATATGAGAGGAAAAAATTATACGTAAAAATTTTAAATAGAAAATTTGTAAAAACATAATATAAAATCGCGTTCTAAAAAAAATTTGCGTGTAATACAAAAAAAAAAATAAATAAAGTTGTATCTAGTCTGCAAAATGGAATGTTGATTCTTCTTGAAATACAAGTCTCGACGATTATTGCGAATTTCTGCGAATCGGACAAGAAGTCGAGTCCTTCACTCTCTTAAAAGATCGACCTCCGTTAAAAAATTTCTCTCATTACGATCGATCTTTCGTCGTCGATCGAGACAGCCGATTTTTCACCCGAGCGCTTTAAAGTCTCATTGATATACGTAGATTATGTAATACACACGTGTATATATATATATATATATATATATATATATATATATATATATATACATATATCTTTTGAAAGGTATGGAGAGGACACACACGCCCATGTTACATTGCTGTTATATATTTTACTACAGGAAATGCGACATACACTAATGAATTTATCTCTCTATTAATATATGTAACGCCTTAATGGAACGCTATAACGTAATTACATGGTAATTAAAGGAAACTAGCACAGCCGCAGAAAGGAGAAGTGTATTTAAAGAACGCTACTATCGTCTTTTAATGTTTGTACTAGATTACCCGTTATACGATTTTTAATTCTTTAGTAAGTCCTATTACGCGCGAGTGGAAGAAAGAGAAGAACACACAATATTAGAGGATGCCAAGG